GGGGGCGTGGTTTGGCGGAGTGGGCGGGGCTAATAGCCTAGCGTGGAGGCCCCTGTGGGGGCGGGGCTATCTGGAAATGGACGCCTCTTAGGGCTGAGTCCCGGAGATGGTGTGGGGGACAAAGACTGAACTTTGCCTTCCCGGTGTGCTGGAGGCGAGGCCTAATAAGATAAGACCCCGGGGGAGGGGGCAGGGGGCGGGGCTCAGCGAAGAGGCGGAGCCTGGGTGCGAGTGGGGCCTAGGACCTGGGCACCGCCCAGAACTGATCTGTGACCTGGGTGAGGCCCAGAGTAGGGGAGGAACCTAAGATTTGGGCGGAACTTATAAAAAGGGCGTGGTTACGGATGGGTGGGGCTTTTGAGGGGGAGGAGCTATAATAGGGGCGTGTCCTAGGGCAGGAGGAGGGGCGTAGGACTAGGGCAGGGTTTAGGGTGGGAGGGGCACAGGATGTGGGGAGGTTCAGGACAGGGGAGGAGTTAGGATCTGGGCGGGGCCTGTGGTGAGGGGAGGAACCTAGGACTGGGCGTGGCCTGCGGTCAAGAGGTATCCTGGGATCTGGCCCTGGCTTGTGGTGGGGAGGGGGTGGGTCATAAGAAATAGGCGTGACCTGCGATGGGGAGGGCCTTGGGATCTGGGCGTGGCCCGAGGCGGGGAGGGGCTTAGGATCGGGGCGTGGCCTAGGCCTGGATAGAGATTCAGGTGGGGCTCCAGTGGATGTGAAGCCAGGGACGGTCCCTCACCGGAGCCTTCATCCAGAGCACGCATCAGTGGCTTCAGTTCCTGCTCGAAGGCCAGCGCAGCCTCCGTGTGGCTCCGACGCAGCTGGCGCCACGTGCGCTCCAGCCGGGACACCTGGGGAAAGTTACACCAGCCTGCCTCCTCCCTTCTACCAGGCACCCGCACCCCGGCTTCCTCCTCCCGCATTGTCCCCCACGCACCTGGGGCATGAGCAGGGCGCCCATGACCGCCGCCAGCCCCAGCAGGTCCCCCACCGCCCCAGGCCGCAGCGCCAGCGCCAGCTCCACCAGGCCCCGCAGGGCGGCCGCGCGCTCCTCCAGGGGCCCTGAGCAGCCCAGCACCGCCAGCGCCCCGGCCAGCGCCAGCGCCTCCAGCCTGCAGAGGGGAGGGCAAGGGTCTGGGGACGGTGGGGGCGTTTGTCATGCGAGGGTGAGAGGGCCTGTAAGGGTCATGGTCCACCCCATTCTCCCTGGGTGGGGGTGCGGGGCAAGGAAAGGGAGATATTTGGAGACCCTGTGGATTCAGGGACGCGCCCCCTCCCCGCCCCTCACAGGACACCTGCTCACCTCTCTAGCAATTCCAATCTCAGGCGATGTCCATGGGGAAGTATGAGCAGCTCCAGGCCCGAGGCCACCCCCATGGCACTTCGCTGTTCCCTGGTCACTCCCAGGAGGCCTGCAGCCTTCCAGAGGCAATCAGGTAAATGGTGGATTGGTTGGGTCTCACCCTGATTTCACACCCTTGACCTGGAGGCTTGGGTAGGGTAGGGGGTTCCTGGCAGGTGGCTCACCTGACAGTCCACCAATAGCAGGTGCAGGGCGGTGCCCCCAGGATGGTGCTCCAGGAACAAACCACGGAGCTTGTGCAGAATTTGGGGGTCCAGGGGCCGATTCTGGCAGCCCAGCAGGCAGGAGGGGTGGTCAGGGGGGCAGAAAGAGACCTCAGCCTTTGGCCTTACGAAGCATCTGTCCTCCTCTTTCTCCTCCTCCTCCTCTGCCTCCCACCAACGGGCCTCTGGCTCTGGGCAGCTGTGGACAGGGGATGCTCCTTGGGCACGGGGTACTCGGGGTACCAGCTCACAGTATGTTGGAGGGGGTCCAGAGGCCTCACCAAGCACCAGGGAGGGTGCCCGCAGGGGCTTGGTTGGTGCCTTGGCATGAAGCTGCCCATCTGAGCCCCTGAGAATGTCAGCCATTTTTCCCAGGGGAGCTGGAGTCTTCAGCAACACTGAGTCACTGCCTATCCGGAGCAGGGCAGATCCGGGCACTGTAGAGGCTCCTGGGGGGGGGGGTCAAACAGGAGAGCAGGGAGGGATGGGAGCATATTCCCAAGACAATTGAGGCTCATGGAGAGCTTGTGAGAACCCTGCTTTAGTGACACATCCAGCCAAATCTTAGCAAAGCTTTTAGTCTTAAAACTTTCACCAACAACATGTTACACTTAGCAACAGAATTAATAGTGGTTTCAAAATAACTTTCTTCCATACTTCTGTAGTTTTGTGTATTCCCAATAACTTATTTATTTATTTGTTGTGCAGGTACTGGTGCTTGAACTTAAGGCCAGAGAGCTGTCCTTGAACATTTTTTGCTCAAGGGTAGCACTCTACCACTCTACCACTTGAGCCACAACTCAAAAGCTCCCAACTGTTTGGTGGTTAATTGGAGATAAGAATCTCACACTTGGGCTGGGAAGGTGGCTCAATGGTAGAGCGCTTGCCTTGCACGCATGAGGCCCTGGGTTCGATTCCTCAGCACCACATAAGCAAAAAGAAAAAAGCCGGAAGTGGCACTGTGGCTCAATTGTTAGAGCACTAGCCTTGAGCTGAAGAGCTGAAGGACAGCGCCCAGGCCCAGAGTTCAGGCCCCATGACTGGATCCAAAAGAAAAAAAGAATCTCACACTTTCCTGCCCAGGCTGGTTTTGAACTTTGATCCTCAGATCTCAGCCTCTTGAGTAGCTGAGATGACAGGTTTGAGCCACTGGTGCCTGGAATAATTTATTCACTTATTTATTGTGGCTCACTGTCTGTCTATTGATTTGAAGGACTAGGGTTGGAGCATGAATAAGAATTGCAAGTGCAAAGGCCCAGGGGCAGGCACAAGCCTGGGAGATTCCAGCAACAATTAGGAGGACTGTGGAGTTGTTTAGGAGTTGTTAGAGATCCCAGTCCTGAATAGAACATGTTGGGCTTCTGGGAATAATCAGAAACACACATTGTGAAAACACCTGTGTGTCACCATGACAACACTGAGAGCATTACTGTCTGCATTTTCCAGCGCAAGAAGCTGAAGCTTAAGAAGGTTAAATCACCTGCCCCCAAGATCACCAAGGTGGCGAGTAGCAGAGTGGATCTTGGAGCCATGGCAGACCCTTACCTGGTCCCTCTGAAAGGTCTTTTGACCGTCCTGAATGCTCCAAGTCTGTGGGCTGGCTGGTGCTCCGTTTCCTGGTCCTGGGGGGGGGGACATAGGTGGGTGAGAGCTGTCATCCCAGTCTGAGCAGTGCAGATCCCACCAATGCCTGGCACACCCCACATGTAGTCACTCTGTGCCGGTGGCTCCAACCCACCAAAGGATCTACCCTTGGCAATCAATGTGTGAAGACAATTATAGTGACCACAGATCTCAAAGGAAGGAGGCAGGGTTCCGGTGGGTATCTCAGAGGGAGAGATCAGCATCTTTCACTGTGCCCCAAAAGTGATTTGGGCTGGTGGGGTTGGTGGTATGGGAAAAGCAGAGGGACCAGACACCTGAGATGCTTGATTCCACCTGTGCTGTCCACAAGGGCATCCTCGCTAAAGCTGCGACGCAGACAGCTGGGCTGGGCCACAGGCCTAGAGGCCACGGCTCCTGTGGCTTGGGACAATGGACGCCCACTGGCCATGTAGCTGTACACCAGGGCAGACACGGAGGAAAATCTCTCATCTTCCAGCTGAAAGAGAGCAGCGGGCCGACCTGGCCGGGGGCGCAGGGCCACGCGGAGCACTTCGAAATGAAGAGCAGACCCCTGCCAACGGCATGAAATCACAGGGTGGCCCGCACGGGACCTTGAGGCTCGAACTAGGAAATCTCCATCCTCCAGAAGAAGAGCTTCAGCCTTCTGAGAATAGAAGACAACTATTAATGGCGACTTACCTCTCCATCACCCAGAAATAGCCACCCTCAGTGAAACATTTCTGGTGGAGGCAAATACTGGTTAGTTTCACACCAAACCACACCTTTTTGGCTTGCCAGCTGGTATCTGGACTACATTTCCCAGAATCCTGTGTAATATAGCCTCATCATGTGATATGTTACATAATCCTGGCAGGCTTTGTTCTACATCATTGAGATACCCCAAACACCAGGGGAAGTGGGGACTTTGAGTTCCTACTTCCCCAACTCTAACCACTTTGGATCATGATATGAACAAGTGATATGTTCATATGTTGATTACCAGCCATTGCAGCTGCTGACCAATGGGAATTATACTCTTAAGTAATGCATAGAGCTTGGTTGTGCAAATATGGCTTCAAGAAAAAGCCCTCAACTGGGCTGTGTGTGTGTGTTTGGGGGGAGGGTAGGTTATGCCTGTAATCCCAGCCACTTCAGAGTATATAAATTGGAAAGGTCACAGTTGAAGGCCAGTCCTGGGCAAAAAGTTATGGAGAACTCATCCCAATGAATAAGCCAAACATACTGGATCAGGCCTGTAATCCTGCTTAGGCAGGGGCATTGGCAGGAGGCTTGTGGTCTGAGGCTGGCCCAGTGCACTCTGCCCCCCCCAAAAAAAAAGCCTAATTGAAAACACACAAAAGGGCTAGGGGCATAACTCCTGAGAATGCGTGCCTGAGTTCAGTCTGAATAGAGGCATTAAATTGAGAGAGAGAGCAGGAGAGGTAGAGAGAGGTAGAGAGCAGGGAGAGAGGGGACAGGCAGAGTCAAGGAGGTCATGGGGAAGGGGCATCTAATATCCATCCACACCCTCAGCAGTGATAATCTGGCAGTATGACAGCATACAGTCAGACTTGAAGACAGTCCCCAGTCCCTGCCCAGCCACCTGTCCCAGCTGACTTTCGCCCTAAGTCCTTCACCCAGTGCTTAGGAGTCCTCAGGCCAGGGCTGGCAGCCCTCCACTAGGTAGTGTTCAAGCCCTGCAGAGGGAGGTACCTGGCGGGAGAGGGGGCCATGGTACCAGGGCTGGCAGGCGAGGTCTTCTTCTCCATCCTGAGGCACCTGCATGAAGGTCTGGGGGGCGGGGGGCCAGGGCTGAGCTCTGAGCGCCTCCAGCAAGCCTCAGTCTTTCACAGCTGCAAATGGGAATAATGAAGCTTTGTGTGCAAGCAGCTGGAATAGGGACTCTCCCCTCTCACTCCCCCCTCCCGTCCTCCCCCCACCTCCCCCTCTTCAGTGGCTCAGGCCTGTAATCCTTACTAATCAGGAGGCTGAGATCCAGAGAACTGAGATTTGAAGCCAGTCCAGGCAGAAAAGTTGGTGTGACTCCATCTGCAATTAACCACCAAAAAGCCATGTTAAAAGGCTTGGGTCAGGTGGTAGAGGACCAGCTGAGACCGGAATTCAAGGCCCAGTACCAGTAATCAAACCATACCATATAAGGTAATGTATAATATCCATTCTAAATTGAACAAGTTATTCATTCCCAGGTCTTCCAACCATGTAAATACAGTTTTTGTATATTATGTATAACACCTACAATACTACATTTAAATATTAACTATATACTACATATATTTTTTTCATGCTGGGGACCAAATTGAAGGCCTCATGCATGCTAAGCATGTACTATACCACTGAGCTACATTCAACCCTGGAATACATGTTCTTACCTACAAAAAAGTAATACATTTGTTTATAAATAAATGTTTATAAAAATAAAATTATTTGTGTTGTATAAAGAGAATCAAATTTTATATATTCTATTTGTAAATAAATTGGTTTATAAAACATTTTATATTATGTAAAATAGTTATATATAAATATATTTATAAATATAATATTAATAATAATAATAATAAATAAAAATGTATTTAAAAATAAAATATAAAATAAAAATAAAATATATTTAAATATAAATATATAAAACCTGTACTGGTTAAACTGTATAAAGAGATATATATCTGTATAAAGATATAGATATAGATAGATATAGATATATAGAAATAAACTCTGTACTGTGGTTTAAACTCAGGGCTTGGGCACTGTCCTTGAGCTTCTTTTACTCAAGGCTAGCACTCTACCACTTGAGCCACAGCACCATTTCTGACTTTTTCTGAGTACTTCTTTGGAGTTAAGAGTCTCAAGGACTTTCCTACCCCAGCTGGCTTCAAACTGTGATCCTCAGATCTCAGCCTCCTAAGTAGCTAGGTTCACATGCATGAGCCATAGGTGCCTGAGTTTACCTGAGCTTTTTTACTCAAGGCTGGTGCTCTACTTTTGAGCCACAGCACCACTTCTGGCTTTTTGCTGGTTAATTGGAGATAAGAATTCACAGACTACCCCTCTGTACAGTATGTTCACAATAAAAAAAGAAAAGAAAAGAAAAAAAAAGAATTCACAGACTTTTCTGTCTGGGCTGGTTTTGAATCATGATCCTCAAATCTCAGCCTCTTAGAGCAGCTAGGATTATAGGCACCAGGGGCACCAGGCTAAAGTCAATATTTTATTGTATGCTTATTACAGTAAATATATCTGTCTTAGATACCATGTTATACTATATACTACATGTTATTATATAACAATATATAGACATGTGACAATATTTATAACATGTAATTACATGTTTATAATAAGTATAAATCTTTATTATGTGCAATTTTATGTATGAAATATATGAGGTTTTTGGTCATATAATGAGACATATGCATTAAAAAAATGAATGCATATAAGCCATCAAGAATACAAGCAACATGGGCTGGGAAGGTGGCTCAGTGGTAGAGTGCTTGCCTTGCATGCATGAGGCCCTGGGTTTGATTCCTCAGCACCACATAAGCAAAATGAAAAAAGCCGGAAGTGGCGCTGTGGCTCAAGTGGTAGAGCGCTAGCCTTGAGCTGAAGAGCTGAGGGACAGTGGCCAGGCCCAGATTTCAGGCCCCACAACTGGACCAAAAAACAAAAAATCAAAAAAAACAAAGAATACAAGCAACAACAAATGCTGTTGGGGATGTGGTGAAAATGGAGCCCTAGTGCACTGTTGGTGGAAATGCAAACTAGTACAACCACTCTGGAAGGCTGTTTGGAGGTTCCTCAAAAAAACTAAACATAGAACTTCCCTAGATCCAGCCATTCCACTCCTGGGCATCTACCCAGGACATTACAAGTCAGAATACTGTGAAGACACCTGCACATCCATGTTCATTGCTGTACTATTGACAATATCCAAGTCATGGGAACAGCCCAGATACCCCACAATAGATGAGCGGATCCATAACATGTGGTATCTATACACAATGGAATTTTACTAATCCACTAGAAAGAATACTATGATGTCATTTGCAGGGAAATGGATGGACCTAGAACAAATCCTGTTAAGTGAGGTAAGCGAAGCTCAGAGAGACCAATGATGCTTGTTTTCCCTTATAACTGGGCATGATAAGTTATACAGAACTCAATGCATTCACACACAGTCAGATACAGGAGGATACCAGTTGAGAAGGAATACAAAGGCGTAACTCCTCTGAAGTTGTAAAATACTATTTATCAAAACCAATTCCAGGAAATAGAAACAGGTTATTTATGTTGTTGTTGGTTTGTGTGTATGTGTGTGTGTGTGTGGGGAGAATTGTTTGCATGTGCTTTTTCTTTTTCTGGGGGAGCAAGCGGGGAGAAAGGGAAGGAAGAAGGGTGAACAAATGCAATCATGCTATACAATAGACACAATGTAGAAAATGAATTGTGCAACTTGTGGGCAGGGAGAGGAGAGGGAAATTGGGGGAAAGCTAAGGAAGGGATGACAATGTCCAAAAAGGAAAGACATGCATTTCCTGACTTATGAAACAGTAACCCCCCTCTGTATAACACTTTTTTTTTTTTTGGTTGGTTGTGGGGCTTGAACTCTGGGCCTGGGCGCTGTCCCTGAGCTCTTCAGCTCAAGGCAAGTGCTCTACCACTTGAGCCACGGCACCATTTCCTGTATAGTACTCTTAACAATAGCAATGAAACTGTATCTTAAGATATATATAAAATAGCGTGGGATGTGGCTATTCATGCCTGTAATCCTAGCCATCAGGAGGCAGAGCGAAGAGAATCTAAGTCTGAGGCTAACAATAATATACACTATTAAAAAAAAAAGTTTCCCTGAGAGTCATTTATTTAATTTAGAGCCACAGTGACTTCCTGCAAGTGGTGATCATCTTTGACTCTTGCATAAAGGACGCATCTCATTCACAGGCAGCACAGCTGGCCGCACTGACAAAACAAACTGACGCCCCCTCCTGGCGCCCTGTTGCATGCAACTCAGATGCACAAAACCACTAGGGCTTGAACCCAGAGCCTTGTGCAGCTCAGGCTAGTGAGCTGCACACTGAGCCACATCTGTAGTCACTAACATGACTTGTTAGTGCCAGAGTTCTGGGTTCCTCCCCACACCCCCGGGGAGTTTTAAGCAGGGAGCAGAGCATAGGGGAGCCCCTGCCTTGTGGGATAATATGTGGGGACATTTATGAGTGGGAAAAGGATTAAGTAGACCTGATGATGCCTGTGTCGTAGCTAACCTAGGGATGTGAGCAATGGAGGTTAGGTGGATGGAGTGACTTGTTTGGCAGGGCAAGCAGACGGGGAGGCAGGTCTCTGAAGCTGGAAACATTCCTGGTAGGGGGAATTGAACTTGCAAACATCCTCAGTTTAAGCCAGGCACTGGTGGCTCACGCTTGTAATCCCAGCTACACAGGAAGCTGAGATTTGAGGATGGACATTTGAAGCCAGCCCAGGCAGTTAAGTCTGTGAGACTCTTATTTCCAATTAACAACCCAAAAGCCAGTAGTGGGACTGTGGCTCAAATGGTAGAAAACCAGCCGTGAGTGAAAATGCTAAGGGATAGTGTCCAGGCTATGAGTTCAAACCCCAAAATGGGCACAAAATAAAAATCTTGAGCTTGTTGGCTATCTCTCTGTACATGCAGGGATTCCCCTGGTGTGTGAAAATCCAAACTGTGCGTGGCTTTAGCATATAATGTCACCTTTTCCCCCTGGTTAATTGGAGATAAAAGAGTCTCCTGGACTTTCCTGTTCAAGCTGGCTTCAAACCATGATCTTTGGATCTCAGCCTCCTGAGTAGCTAGGATTACAGGTGTGACCCACTGGTGTCCAGCTCCGTTGTGTTTTTATGATGGTCAGATGTAGGTGGCAGACTCCTGAGTGGATCCCTGATTGCTTTCAGGCCTTGGTGCCAATGTGTCTCCAATGAATGATAGGGAACACACCCTGGATAGAGGGCAAGAGAGTCATCTCCTTGTCCTTTCCCCATTCACCCTCCCCCACCCCCCTATATCCCTTCCCCTTCCAAGGTCTTTAAAAATGTGGAGAGGTCTGTGGGTAAACAGCCACCTGGATTCCAGCCTCCTGAGTCAGAAAGGGCAGGAAGTTTCCAGATCAGCTCTGGTGGCTGGGCAGGGAGCTGGCTCCAGGCACTGCATACCTGAAGGCAGGTGTGTTCGGAATACCAGCGCACTTCCTGTTTGCCAGCTGGGCAGGGCCCTGCATACTCAGCCTTCCAATGTCCCAGTGTCTCTGGTCCCCGGTTAGTGGGGGTGGAGGTGAATCATGGCCGGGCTCTGGTTAGTTTGGGGAGCAGGAGGGAGGGGCAAGTCAAAGGCCCACTACGCCATCCATCTACCTCCGCATGCTTCGGGATGACTTATCTGGGTAGGGGAGAAAAGACTAAAACGAGGAAAGGGACGAGGGTGCAGCCAAACTTGGGTAAAAGAAGAAGGGGGTTATTTACACTCAGGTTCACCTTCTACAGGTGGGCAGCCACTGGCACACACACACACACACCACAAGGACACAGATGGAGCTCGGTGGATGGTTTATATTTGTGCTTGTCCGGTGTAAATCTGAGAGATGCAGAGACCCAGCCCCCCTTCCCCCCCGCCCCCCAGTGCTACCAAAACCTCACACTCCGTGCAGAAAGAATGGAATTTCTTACTAATCAATGCAAGTGACAGAATGGGAAGATGTGATTAAAAAAAAAAAAGACTAAAGGCTACCAGTTGTTTAAAATAACAAAGTCTCAAGGCTCCTTCCAGAAGATGGTGAGCCGATGCTGCGACTTCAGTGCGTCGAAGGAGGAGGTGTTGCAAAGATTGGGGGCCTCGGAGTGGGCTGGAGGTACAGCACGTGCCAAGGCCCAGTGGTCACACAGGGGCTTGCTTTTTACGTTTTATGTAAGAGTGAAGGTCAGGGAGGCTGGCAGCGGAGGGGCCGCCCAGAAACTGGCGCACCCAGAATTTTAATC